GAGCACTGTCGCCGCCCTGGTGGCCAGAGCCCGCCTGGGGGCAGTCCGCCGGGACTCTGAATCAGGGCTGACTTCCAAGAACTCTTTTGTAAGTTATTTTTAGAACCGTAACTTTTTTAGGAAGGAGTTGCAGACTCGGCATATTTTTGATTCTCCCTGAAGCATTGAAACGAGGGGATTCTGGGGCGTTTTCATGTTGTCCCGTGGGTTTGAGTCAGTGCCGTGAACGCGATGGGGGCCACAGAACCGCACCGCCGTCCCTGTCGCCGGTCCGACGTCTCGGGCAGAAACGAACCCAGCCCAGCCCGGGTTCTGCTCGGCTTGGACGTACACTTGGTTTCCTCCGAATTTGCTAGGCCTGACCGAGTTGGGGCTTCAGGGCACCCCAGAATGAGCAGCCTGGCGCTGCTCCTGGGAAGCCGGGGTCACTCCTGGCAGGGAAGGGCAGCACTCAGCAGCTGGCGGCCCTGGGTTCAGATCCCGCCCCCCCAGCTTCATCTCCTTGACCTGGAGGAGGCACCCTGCCTTCCTGAGACTCCCTCTCCTCGTCGGGTGAGGCAGCGACAGCTGGCTCGAGGGCGTGCTGGCCCTGGCGCGGCCACTGCGGTCTCGGGGTGCCCCTCCCCTCCACCTGCCAGGCACAGCTGAATCTTCCCCCAGTCTCCTCAGCCCTACCCCACCCCCGGCAGCCTAGCCTCCCTCCCCCTGCTGAACCCCCCTTCCTGGCCGGCTCCCCCTCCTGGTGGGTGGCACAGGCTGGCTCCCCCATAAGCACGTATCTCCCCATGTTTACGAAAGGCGCAGGGCCTTGCTGACGAGTCAGCCACGTCCTCACTCCGAAGTGATGAGATGAAGGGCTAAGACCAGCGGGCCTGGAGGTCCCAGCTCAGAACCCTCCCGACCGGCCTCTGCAGAGGTTTGGGGGCCCCTCCTGTGCTCCGCCCCTGCCCCCGGGCGGCTGTCCACCCAGGGCTGCCGTGTGCTGTGGTGCGGAGCCGAGAGCACCCCTTTCTGTGTTCACGAGATGCCCTGGGCCAGCGCCAGAGCTCTCCTGGATTCGTCACGAGAGACCGAGCCCGAGGTCCGCCAGCCCCGTGCGGTGGTGTGTGAAGCAGGCGCCTCCGTGTTGGGGACCCTGAGACAGGCAGCCAGGCTCCCCAGAGCACGGTCTGGGGCCACAGAGACAATGGAGCGTCCACTCTGATTGTCACGAAGCGCCTTCCTTTGAGCTTGCAGCTATTTAAGCGTCGGCTTCTCTCTCTGTACAAGGAATGTCCAGAAAGTGACAACAAAGCCGGGGAGGGCGGCCATTCCGTCCCCGAGGTTTCACACCAGGCGGCGCCTCGCCAGCCTGAGCGGGCGCTGGGCAAGGCCTGCGTGCCCACCACTGACCCGCTGTCTCGGGTAAAAGGCAGTCAGTTGCTTACTTTCCTTTGCCGTGGGGAAGAGGCCTCGAGGGGTCCAGCCGGCTTTTCCCGCTGACCGGTCCCTGTTCCCAGACTTGCAGGCCAGCTCGGAGCAGAGCAGCTGCTGGGGTCCTGGCTGCCCCCCCACCTGCCCGCCTTTTGCTCAGGTGCTTCCCTAGTTGCGTCCACTATTTCCCAGAGTGCCTCCCAGGGCCAGCGCAGGTGACTGTCATGACCCGCGCCGGGCGGGCACCACGAGGCCAGTGCCCCTTACAGACCCCGTGTCACCGATGAGGACACCGAGGCTCAGCAGCGTGGCCACGCGCCAGGACCCGCAGCTGGGTGGTGAGCCGCCGCCTGGCCCTAGAGGCCCCCTCAGATCCCCGCCCCGTGGAGGGAGCTCATGGAGGCCGCTTCAGCTCCCACGTGTGGGGCTTTGTGCTTCCCAGGACACGAGGACGGTGAGGCCGCACAGCCAGGCCGTGCGGGGTCTGCCCTCCGAGTCCTCCGCAGCCTGGCATTACCTCGATGCGTGTGTCCCTGCGTGTCTGTCCCCAGGAAAACTGCCCTCAGAGGTCTCCCGGCGGGGGCAGGGCGCCTGCGTCTAACTGGGCACTGCCCCCTGCCCCCCGGGCCCGGCTCCCTTGCACCAGGCCTGAGATAGAGACTCCAGTTTGCTTCCACGTGCAGCCCCCGGTTGGCCTGGGCAGAACGCTCCCTCCAGAACCTCCGGCTGTAAAAGCCACAGAGGCCGGGGGCCGGCTGTGCTGGTGACACGTTCCTTTGTGCTGCCTTTACGAGACACGCAGTCACCTGTGCTCCGGTCGCCTGCCCAGGCCGAGGCCACAGTGGCTTTCTAGGTTTCTGTCTGGGGGTTGTCTCGGCTGCGGTCAGCAGGCCTGCTGAGTTTGGGGAGGTGGCCGGGCAGCTCTGCGTCGGGCAGGGCGGGCCGCGTGGGGTTCCAGGTCCTGGCGCCGGACTGTGGGTCCCTTTGTGTCTGTCCCTGCCAGGGGCCCGCAGCCGTGACCCCGTTCTCTTGCCCCCGCGGGTCCTGCCAGCCTGGCCCTTCCCTGGGGATCAGTGGACATGGCCCTGTGACAACACATCTCGGCTTTTAGTACGCAGACTATATATAGACCTTTGGGGGTGGCTGTGCGCCCCGGGAGGTCAGGGGAGAGTGGAGGGAAGAATGTGGTGTGGCTGGCGGGGCGGGAGGAGCCCTGCACTGTGGTCTGAGTTTCCAGGGACGATAATGTCGCACGTTGAGATCGCAGCTAATTTTCTCAGGGACTCAGCAAAGGGGGGGCCGCTGACTCTGCAGCTGGAAGCCGAGGCGACGGTTTGCGTGTTCTTTTCGTCGCGTTACAGGGAGTCCCATGTGTTCCTCAGGTTCTCCTCCTGCTCTCCCGTGCTCGAAAGACACGTTTCGCCTGGAGACCAGGATGTCTTTCCTTTGCTGGGGCCGGGTCCCCCCCCTCCACCCCCGGACCCCGCCACGTCTGCAGCCCTGAGTAACTGGTGAAAGTCTAACTCTCTTCGAGTGAGAGGGAAGCTCTGGGAAAGACGGGTCGGTCTCTTTAACACCGAGTGTGCAGGTTCAGGCCCCGCGCCGGCCGGGGTGCTCTGGGATGGGGGGTGGCCAGGAGGTGCAGGCAGCCTGGTGACCCGCCCCCCCCGAGGGTGGTCCCTGGGCCTGGGCCTCCCCCTCCGGGGACTCTGGGCTGCGGGAACTTTAACTCCTTCGGCCAGCGGAGGAGGGCGGGGCAGTGGGATTAATCCCAGCCCAGGCCCTCCTGCCAGAGCCGGGGTGGAGATAAACAGCAGACAAAGCCCGAGCTGGGTCGGTCGGGGAAGCCGGGAAGGGGCAGAGCCCAGGGGGCCGGAGCCATTTTGTCAGGACCCCCGAGGTTGCTGCATGAGTCACGGGGACACAGATCTCTGCGATCTCGGGCAGGGCAGACTTCAGAGAACACACAGGCTCCGTTGAGCGAGCGCCTGGGGCCTGCGGGACTGTTCTGGCGTGGGGGAGGGGGCGCCCTGCGGTCCGCAGCCCTCACCTCCACCTCAGCCGGCGGCAGGCTCCAGTGTGGGGCGCTGGGGAGGTTGTACAGGCCCGGGAGGGACCTGATTGGTCTGCCCAGGTGGCTTGATTCACCACCTAGAGGCCTGAGCCCAGGCAGCCTGGGCAGCACCCTGGAGACAGCCTGCCCACCCGCTCCCCACCACCAGGATTGGTGGGCCAGGGGGAGGGGGCCCGGCCCACCGGGGACGGGGGAGAGGCCAGGACAGACTCCCTTTCAAGAGGCAGCATGTATTGAAATGCCATCTTGTTCCTCTGAGTGCTTTTTCCAGGCTGTTGAGGTGAGACTTTTTCCAGCATCTCGAATTCCCCCGGAGGCTGCCTCCCGCCCCGAGGGGTGTTGCTGAGCAGAGCACATGGCCCGCCCCCGCCCTCCTGGCTCCCCTTGGCACCCCTGTGCCTGGGAACCGTTCATCTGAAACACGCCAGACCAGACCCGGAAAATGAAGCGTGTAGAGGACAGGGGCCAAAGAATTGTGTGGCCGTTCCCACGACGCCCTTCAGTGCAGTGTTTCACATTTCAGCGTGTTCGTGTTCATCTTCCTCAACTTCTTCCTGAGCCTCAGTGGACATGAGAGGGGAGGGCACCACAGGAGGCAGCAGGGGTGGTGCCCACACCGCCCCCGGCCCATGGGAGCCACCAGAAGTCAGGAATCTGCGATTGGTTCCGCTGTGAAATGCTGCACCCGGCCACCAGCTGCCCTTGCCTGAACCCTCCCTGTGGCTGAGACAGGATGTCGGGAGGCCCCTGCACCCCCGGGCCCAGCCGTGGCTTCGGCTCAGTGCCCCGCATTTCCAGAAGGCCGTGCTGTGCCCCTGACCGTCCGGGGTACCAGGTGGCCGCGGTGTCCCGCCAGCTGCTGGAGGGACAGTTACACACATGTTGGACGGCCGTGGTCCTTCCTTTTTCTGTTTCATTTGGTTCAGTTTTTATTTCTTAAAAACTCACTTTTTTTTTTGTCCTTCCCCTAACTCATTTGAAAACAGACCTAGTCTATTAGAGGCCTGAATCTGTCTGTTGAGAAGTGAAAAAATACGATTGTGTTTCCGGCGGCCGCAGTACCTGAGTAGGCTTTCCCGGAGCCAGAGACAAGTCCTGTCGAAGTGACCGTGTCCGCGTCACAAGTCTGGACAATAAAAATCTAATCGTAGCCCTGGCCGGTTTGGCTCAGTGGTTAGAGCGTCAGCCTGCGGTCCAGAGAGACCCGGGTTCGGTTCCCGCTAAGGGCACGTACCTCGGTTGCAGTTTGTCCCTGGCCCTGGTGGGTTGTGTGGGTGGCAGCCACTCGATGTGTCCCTTTCACATCGATGTTTCTCTCTCTCTCTCTCTTCCTCTCTCTCCCTCTCACTCTACCTGAACAAAGAATGGAAAAATGTCCTCGGGTGAGGATAAAAAAAAAAAGAAAAGAAAAATGTCCTCGGGTGAGGGAAAAAATAAATCTAACTGTAAACAAACAACAGCAGAGCCCCCCACCCCCCGCGACGCGTGTGTGAGCACTGCGTGTGTGTTGCAGGATGTGAAGGTCTTTGGCGAAGACGCAACCTGCAAAGTGGTGGAGATCATGGTGGACATGACGGCCAGGGACCTGTGCCAACTGCTGGTGTACAGAAGCCACTGTGTGGACGACAACAGCTGGACTCTGGTGGAGCACCACCCACACCTGGGGTTAGGTAGGCAGCGCACCCGGGTGCTCCGAGGGCACCCCTCTCTTCTTCCTATTAGCTGCCCCTCCCTCCCTCCCGGCCCCTCTCCCACGTGCTCCGGGCTCCTGCCCTTGGTGGGTCGAGGCAGAGACCCTCCGGGGCCCAGATGCTGGGAGGGAGCTGGCTGTGCCTGCTGCTCGTGGGGTCCGGGCATCACTGCAGTGAGCCGCCCACCCCTTGCCAGCACCCAGCACTCGGGGTGACCCTGTATGGGAGCCCGGACGCAGCTTCTTTGCGGTGGAGCCCCGCGGTGTCTCCCCGCGCGGCCGCGCAGGGAGCAAGGACTGTCTGGAGCCAGGATTCGTGGAACTTTCTGGGGCTTTGTTATTTGGATTTTTCGTTGGTGTTGTTCCTTTGGCTCAGGTGGTCCATTTTAGCTGAAGACATGACACGTTCCGGGTTTTTGTTTGAATCCTTAGTGGGTAGATGACGGTGCTGCAAAATCATAGGCACGTATTTAAAACCAGGGTTTTCCCTAAACTGGCAGCTCTCGGGGACCCATGACTCCAGGAGAGGAACCCAGTTTCCAGACTTCTTCCCCTGGCTGTGCAGTGGCGGGCGGCGAGCGGATTGCTCGTGGGAGGACCGGCCTGGCCGGGGGCTCGGGGGGCTCCGTCCCCGAGCAGGCCACACACCCGCGCCACAGGCCCCAGCCACAGCTGGGCGCCCACGAGAGGCAGCAGATGGGTGTTCCTCTCTGCGTCTCCCTCTCCCCCTTCCTCTCTCTCTAAAATCTATAATACACACACACACACACACACACACACCCCTTTAGGTGAGGATCTAAAAAAAAAAACACACAGAATGGACCAAAATCACTTAAAAACACACGATTTTAGAATCAGAGAGAAAATTAGAACTGAGAGAAGGGCCCTCAAACTGACGTCGGTGGCTCTTTGCCGGCGGTGGAAGCCGGTGCTCTGGACACCCGGTGGCAGACGGAGGCCGGGCGGCACCTGTGCCCGTGGGCGCCAGTGCCCACGAGGTCTGGGGAGCGTGTTTCTGGCCCTCGCTGCGGCGAACCCACTGGGACAGAGCCCTTCAGTGTGGGGGGCACGTGGAGCGTGGCCTCGGCGTCGGAGATGCGTATTGGCAGACGGTGTTTCTGTGGCACATCCTGTCCTGTGCGCCCGCACCGAGTGTCAGGGACCAGAGGGCACGTCTCTGTGCCCCTGCTGCCCTCCCCACCCCCCACAGCGGTCCTCCTGTCAGCGCCTGCTCTCTCTGTCTCGCGTGGCTCCCAGTTGCCACATCCACGTGCTCTCTGAGAGCTGGTGCTCGTCCGTGCCACGTGGAGAGGACGCCTCCCGACGGCCTGTGTCGGGACCCCGGTGCCTTTGGCGAGGGTTGGAGGGAGACGTCGGTTCAGTGCGTTCCTGCCAAACCCTCTCCGCTTCCAGCGTCCGTAGGGGGCAAGGCCCGCAGGGCCCCTCGTTGCTTGTCAAGCTGCCCTCAGGCTCTGCCCTGTCCCCCCTCCCGTCTGACACGCGATGCTTCTCCCCCAGAGCGGTGCCTGGAAGACCACGAACTGGTGGCCCAGGTGGAGAGCACCATGGCTGGCGACAGCAAGTTCCTCTTCAGGAAGAATTATGCCAAATACGAGTTCTTCAAAAACCCCACAGTGAGTCTCGCCTCCTCGGGTCTGGGGTGCGGGGCTCTGGACCTCGCCGTTGGTACTGGGGTGTCATCGGGGCAGATTTTGAAGCAGCTGAGATTCAAGGGGCGGCAGGCGGGTCTGGCCTCGGCATTGCTGTTGGACAGAGCAGTCCACGCTGAACCCCAGCTCTGCCGTGGCCTGCGGGTGTCCTGCTGCTCGAGGGGGTGCACCGTCCCCGGCAGTGCAGTAGGAAGGGACAGCTGGTCACATGCTCCGCAGAAGCAGAGCTCACAGTTCTCCACGGGTGGCCGATACTGTCTTGTGATCACTCGTGGAAGAACAAGTAGCGGAATTAATACCCAGGCATCTTGACGAGTCCCCTGGATTTTTCTTTGCTTTTCTGGGTTTTGTTTTGGGGGATGGGGGTAGGTGCTTGTCTTGTGAAACATCAGAACCAGAGCCCCAGACCCAGGTGGTTAGTATGTTCTCCTGTCCTGAGCCCCCAGGCAGGAGGCCCAGGCCCACTCTGGCTCTGAGGGGGCATCGCCTTTTATTTGAAAGTAAGAAATTGGCTGGCGATTGGGGGGGGGGGGCGCGCCTTGCACCCATGACTGTGCTCGTCTGAGTTTCGAGAGCTGTCAGTCGGACGCCATGACTTGCGTCACGAGCCAGGCCCGGGGCAGCGCCCTGCCTGGGAGACACGGAGACGGGGGCTGGGGTCGGGCAGAGCTGCTGCGGGGGGCTCCGCGGGGAGGGGCCGTGGCGGTGGTGGGGCTTGAGGAGGCGGCCGTTGCCGCAGGGGTGTCCTCGGGCCTGGCAGCCCCGGGCAGGGTGGGCTCCTCCCCTTCCACAGCTGACCTTTGGCATGTCCGTCTGTCTGTCTCCTCCCGTAGAACTTCTTCCCAGAGCAGATGGTCACCTGGTGCCAGCAGTCCAACGGCGGGCAGACCCAGCTCTTGCAGGTACTGTGGGCAGATGGGCCCGGGGTCCGGGCAGAGCCCTCCCTCGGCCTCGCAAACACTTGGAGCAATTTCGTTCTTAGTTGTGGCTCAGCCTCGGCTCCTGAAGGGCCCAGAGGCACCAGGGGGACTTAGGACACCTGTGTGCAGCCCGCTCCTCCAGAGAGCGCGCCCCTGTCTGCAGGCACAGCTAACCCGGGGCAGCCCGGCAGCTGCAGGAGCCCGGCTCCCCCAGCCCATCTCAGCACTGAGGGGACGGGTGCCCACTTGCCCTCCACTTTGTAAACTCCGTGCCCGGGAAACATGGCCTCAGCCCGCACCCTGCACAGAGCACCCAGGCCTCCGCCCACACCCTGCACAGAGCACCCAGGCCTCGGCCCGCACCCTGCACAGAGCACCCAGGCCTCGGCCCGCACCCTGCACAGAGCACCCAGGCCTCAGCCCGCACCCTGCACAGAGCACCCAGGCCTCCGCCCGCACCCTGCACAGAGCACCCAGGCCTCCGCTCGCACCCTGCACAGAGCACCCAGGCCTCGGCCCGCACCCTGCACACAGCACCCAGGCCTCGGCCCGCACCCTGCACACAGCACCCAGGCCTCGGCCCGCACCCTGCACACAGCACCCAGGCCTCGGCCCGCACCCTGCACAGAGCACCCAGGCCTCGGCCCGCACCCTGCACAGAGCACCCAGGCCTCGGCCCGCACCCGGCACAGAGCACCCAGGCCTCGGCCCGCACCCTGCACACAGCACCCAGGCCTCGGCCCGCACCCGGCACAGAGCACCCAGGCCTCGGCCCGCACCCGGCACAGAGCACCCAGGCCTCGGCCCGCACCCTGCACACAGCACCCAGGCCTCGGCCCGCACCCGGCACAGAGCACCCAGGCCTCGGCCCGCACCCGGCACAGAGCACCCAGGCCTCGGCCCGCACCCTGCACACAGCACCCAGGCCTCGGCCCGCACCCGGCACAGAGCACCCAGGCCTCGGCCCGCACCCGGCACAGAGCACCCAGGCCTCGGCCCGCACCCTGCACACAGCACCCAGGCCTCCGCCCGCACCCTGCACAGAGCACCCAGGCCTCGGCCCGCACCCTGCACAGAGCACCCAGGCCTCCGCCCGCACCCTGCACAGAGCACCCAGGCCTCCGCCCGCTCCCTGCACAGAGCACCCGGGCCTCGGCTCGCTCCCTGCACAGAGCACCCAGGCCTCTGCACGCCGCCCTGACTCATGCTGTTCCGGGGAAATTGGGCACAGAGAAGGACTGTCCCGCGCCCCTAAAGGCGTTGCTCGCAGCGTGGCCAGGGGCAGGAGAAGCCTGCACTGAGGCGTCTACGCTCCAGATGCCGCCGAGTGTGGGAGACGCGACCTAAGGTGCTTTCTGCAGGCGCAGCTGGAGCCCTGTTTTTCTGCTGGTTGGGCACACCTCTGTCTCTGCCCAGAGGAGCGCGGAGCTCTGGCCCGTGGCCTCTCCCAACCACGGCGGTTGGCAGGGGTCCTCGACGTCCGGTGGTCGTGGCCCGTGCATGGCGGCGGCGGCAAAATGGCTGGCGGCTCTCTAGTGGCCCGATGGGAGGCCGTATGTGGGGGGTGCACGGCCGTCTCTGCAGACTCCGGGAGCTCTGGCCCGGGTGCGTCAGAACTGCCCTGTTGTCCTATCTCCCCTGCGGCAGGAGGGTGTCCCCTCTGGGGTGGTCACCTCCCTGGCCTGGTTCCTGAGGCCCCGGGCCTCTCGCTGCTGCTGGAGGAGTCAGCTGGACCCTGGGCTGTCACCAGGGCGTCCCGGGAGAGACCGTGTGCGGACAGGCAGGCAGACGCAGGGCTCACGGGGAGGGAGGGCGGGGCGTGGCCCCCGCGTGTGCTGGGGCAGGTGTGCAAGACCAGAACACGGCGCCGTGGGCACCGCACGGTCTCGTAGGGAAAGGTGCCCAGCGCTTCCCGTCCGAGTCGTGAAGTCCCTGTAAGCGAATGCGTAAGGTCTGCGCCCGTTTAGACAGCACGCGTAAGACTTCTGAAGACAAGCATGTCGTTGGAAAAGTCTCGGTTTTGACCCCCCAACAGAACATTTCAGTCGTTCCGGGAACATCAGTGGTGTCGACAACACATTGCCTTAATTATTTTACACCACGTGTCTGACTTCTCACATTTGCTCTCCAACAGAACTTCCTGAACTCCAGCAGCTGCCCCGAGATTCAGGGGTACCTGCACGTGAAGGAGCTGGGGAGGAAGTCCTGGAAGAGGATGTACCTCTGCCTGCGCAGGTCCGGCCTCTACTGCTCCACCAAGGGGTCCTCGAAGGTGAGCTTCCAGCGCACCCGCTGGCCCTGGCCGGTCTGGCCCGGGGGCTAGAGCGTCAGCCCTTGGACCAATGGCTCGCGGGTCGGATTCCGGTCAAGGGCACAGACCTCAGTTGCGGTTCATCCCCGGCCCTGGTCTGGGTCGTGCAGGAGGCAACCAGGCGATGTGTCCCTCTCACCTCGATGTTTCTCTCTCTCTCCCTCTCCCACTCTATCTGAAGATAAATAGAAAATATCCTCGGGTGAGGATTACAAAAAATATATAAATAAACGCACCACTGGTCCCCCAGGTGGGGAGGGTGCAGGGTGGGTGGGGCTTCGCTATAAATGCTTCCTGGGCTCCTCCAAACTCCTGACTGTGGAGAAAGAGCTAAGACCCAGGTGATACCCAGGCCTCGGGACCTGCAGGCTGCCCCCCCAGGGGTCCCCCCACCTGGCACCCAGCCAGCCACAGGGTGATGGATTCGCTCCATCCCAAGGCGGTGTGCTCAGCGCCCTTAAAGACACTTTAAGGAGTAAAATGCCGTTTTGCATGTACCCCGGGTAGGAAGAGTGGGGGACAGTGGAGACGGCTGCAGGCTTCCCTTGCTCCGTCTCCTTGATGGTCTCTGCACCTCTGGGCTACTCTGCTCCTCAGCGGGGGCCCAGTGGACCTTGGCCCTGCATTACTCCTAAGAGCTGGGGTCTCTGTGCTCTTGCCCGGAAGAAAGGAGGGGCATCAATGGGACGCTGAGCAGCAGACCCATTTTCTGCTGCTCCTCGGGGGAGGGGTCTGAGCCAGAGGGAAGGGACTTGGGGGGCAGCCCCTCCTGCCCAGGGAGCATCTTTCATCCCATGCAGGTGGACAGGTAAATTGCCCAGCCCCCAGCTCTGCTTTCTGGCTCACTCGCTGTCTTCGTCGATGCTGAACCCAAGGACCTCTGTGGCTGGAGCAGGAGGCAGAGCTGGTTGGAGAGTGGACAGGGCGGGTGGGCTGAGCTGTTGGGGAGCAGAAGGCACAGGTGGCGTCTGCACACACGCAGGCGGGTGGGATGGGCCTGCTGCTGAGCTTGTGCTCTTAGCTTGGACCTTCAGGCTTCCTCCCCTTTACACTCTGAGTGTTGGGTTAGGGTGTCAGCTCTGAGTCGGCAGGGTGCCCAACACATCCTGACCGTCTTACCTCTGAGAGTGGGGAGGAACTTGTGGGGGGCAGGGTTGACTTTGCTGTAGACCTAGCACTTTTGCACACGGTTATGATCTTGGAACGTCCGCGGGGAGCCCACGCAGACTGCCCAGTGCTGGCGAGGACGGGAGGCATCTCCCCTGTGCGGGACGGCGGACGGGTGCGTTGTCCCCAGTCAATGCGCCCCCTCTTCACAGGAGCCCAGACACCTGCAGCTGCTGGCCGACCTGGAGGACTGCAGCGTGTTCTCGGTGATCACCGGCCGGAAGCAGTACAGCGCCCCCACCGACTTCGGCTTCTGCATCAAGGTACTGCACCTCCGGCCCCGCCAGGCCCACCAGCGGGGCCCGGCCTCCCGGCGGCTTTGGAAGTCAAACAGTACTTCTCCCTGGCTGCTGCTCTTTTAAAAAAGCAGCCCTATGGCTTCACACTGGGCTGATTCATCCGTGCAAGAATATTTCCTGTGTGTTAGGATAGGATGTGCGGCTCAGAGGGCCGGAGGAAGGCACGGAGGTAGAAGCGGCCGTCGGGCGGGATGCCCAGCTGACGGCTGGGTGTGTGTTGGACGCGGGCTGCCTGGGCCGAGGTTGTTTTCGGCTCCTTGATGCTCACCGTGGCCCCTTTGCCTCCCTCAGCCCAACAAAGTGCTGCAGGAGACTAAGGAGCTGCGTCTGCTGTGTGCGGAAGACGAGCAGAGCCGCACCTGCTGGATGACCGCCTTCCGCCTGCTCAAGGTACCCAGCCCGTCCCCGGGCCGCCCAGGTTCCGAGAATGTCTAGTCACCACCGTCTTTCACACGGGGGTCCCCGGAGCGTCTCCTGGAGGCTGCGCAGGGGCAGAGCCTGTTGCTGTCCTGCACTGTTGACATCTGGGGTCAGTGTGGGCCCCATGCATTGTGGGACACTTAGCGGCGTCCCTGGTCCCTCCCACCTGATGCCATAGCACCTGGCCAGGTGAGCCAACCACACATGTCTCTAGACATTACCACGTATGCCCAGGGCGTGGAGGGCAGGGGAAGGCCTCATGGACAAGGTCTGGGTGAGAGAATAGGAATAGAAAGACCAGGACCAGGAAGCAGAATAGCAGAGGGGTCACAGGAGGGTTCACCATAGTCATGACTGGCCATCGGACTCCAGGCTTCCCGAAAAGTCGGGGCCCTGAGGGACACATGGAGAGAGGTACAGCCCGAGGAGTGGCCCAGGGCAGAGACTGTCCCCTGGCAGTAAGTTCTGCGGGAAACCTGTGGCCTGGGACCTCGTGTGAGGTGACAGCCTGCACAGCACTGTCCAGGTAGTGGCCAGAGTCCAGGCGGCTCCGTGGGGATGGCCAAGCACGGCACGATGGGACCACCGCACCCTCCACTTCCACAAACACTGCTTCCTGCGCCCCGTGCCCACGTGTCTGCCATCGCTGGTGTTCATAACGCCCACGCGAGTTGCCAGTTAGTTGATCAAGAGGAACCTGGCTCACGTCCAGGGGTCTGGAGGACAGTCTGACGGCTCACCTGTGCCCAGCACAGGGCGTGGCCCAGGAGTCTCATCACCAGAACCCCAGTCCCTCCCCGGTGCGTCCCCCCAGACCGAGACGCCAGGTGGAGTCACTTGGAGACACAGATGCGCGGAAGGAGGCTCAGGCAGACTCCTCGGGGACACACACAGCATGAGCTCCCCCCCGGGCGCCCAGCACCTCCTGTCCCAGAACCTCGTTTGGCGTTATTTTTTGCCGCTGATAAAACAGAAAGGACTAAAATTGTGTTAGCGTTGAGATAAGATGTGGTACATCGCGTACGACTCCTGGACAAGCCAGGTTTCCATCCGAACGTCCATCACTAGGGCTGCGTAAATGTGTTCCAGGATGTCCATCCCCAGGAACACCCTGCAGCCAAAAAGAATGAGTCAGCTCCTGGGTCCCCTGGTGGAAAAACAGGATCTATTAGCAAAGAGGAAGTTGGGGCAGTTTGTGGAGCGTGGCTGTGTTTGGGGGAGGGAGGGAAACCTGTGTGTTTTCTGCAACATGTGTAGACACTGTATCGGCGGTGGGGCAGCAGAGACCTGGGGGAGGCGCAGCTGTGTGAAGGGCCAGACATGGGAGGGAAACAAAGTTTTCCATATCTGTGTGGGTTTCTTGGTGTGCACATACGTGAGCTATTTTGGAAAAGGGGACACACAGAATGACACAGGGACGTGGGGGCAGGCTCTGTGTGTCTTTGGGGCACCCCGGCACCGGGCACTGACTCTGGCTTCCCCCCCCAGTATGGGATGCTCCTCTACCAGAGCTACAGGGTCCCCCAGCAGAGGAAGGCCTTGCTGACCCCCTTCTCCAGCCCCGTGGTAAGTGAGCCTGCCACCTGCGGCCACCAGGGCGCCCAAGCCTCGTTCGGACGGGGTTCCAGGAGGGGCCGCAGAGGGAGCACGTGTGTTTCAGAGAAGCCAGCCTGTCCCCCAGCTTTCTGTCCTCTCCACATAGGGACGTCCGGCTGGGAGAGCTCCTCAGCCACCCCTGTCCCTGCCCCAAGTCCCCCAGACGGTCCAGGTAGATGCTCTGCTTAGTGCTCAGGTGGTCACGGGCAGCAGAAGCTCCACCCAGGTGCTGCCCTGCGCCCCCCTTCATTTCGGCCCTGAGACCTGGGTGCCATTCCCTCTGAGTCCTTGGCTAGTGAGGGTGTGGAGATTAGACTGGTTTCCTTGGTTCTCAGACACCTCACTTCCCCAAAGCGCAGAAACTCTCACCCTCTCAAAATACGGTCATAATGACCTTCCGTGTCCGTGCTGAGGACCTCTGTCCCTTTATGCCACAAAGGAGGCCACTGCGTCCCGCACCTGTGTGCGCGAAGGGGACAGGGGGCCCGGGCTCCGGGACATTCCCATTGCTCTGCTGCGTCTCGGTGCAGCCCGGGCCCCAGCGGCCTCCCCGCCACCTCAATACCGCGAGAGGATGGAACGTTCCTGACGCGGAGGGAAACCAAAGCCATTTTTAGCTCAAGGGCCCATCTGTCTGCAGCTGCATTTTCCACCCGAACCTCAGGGAGCTGGGAGGCGGGGGTGTGCCCAGGCCCGCTCCCTGGCCATCGAGGACCGTGTGCGCCCAGATTCCCGGGCACCGCGCGGGCGCTCTCCTCCCCCTCAGACCTGTGGCCTCCCCCTTCCAGCGCAGTGTCTCCGAGAACTCCCTGGTGGCCATGGACTTCTCTGGGCAGACTGGAAGAGTGATTGAGAACCCGGCCGAAGCCCAGAGCGCAGCCCTGGAGGAAGGGCATGCCTGGAGGGTAAGGTCACAGCCCAGGGCTGCCACCACAGCGCCCTCCCGGGGTGCCACCCTGTTCCTCTGCCCCAGGACAGGGGCTCTGTGGCTACGGCCAGGGGCCGAGGTGTTGGGGAGGGAGGGGGTGGCATCCAGTCTTCAACTGCAAGGAGCCCTGGGCACTGCTGGCTCCTCCGCATTCCCACACGGCCCCCTCCCCACTGCCCCCTGGGGAAGGAGCAGCCAGGGACAGGGGTCCCGGCTCGTGCACAGCACTGCCCCTGCTGTGGGTCGTCAGGGAAGGGTCTGCGGACCACAGCGCCCTGGCCTCATGGCTCCGCCACCAACTAGCAACATGGCCTTGAACAGCCCTTCACGGGGAGCTCAAGTTCCTGCTCTCCAGATGGGGGAACGTCACTCCGCGTCCAAGTTTTTCTGACATTTAAAGACAATGCCAAAAACAAGAGCCCGCAGCTCTGGCTCAGCAGTGTCCCTGAACTCCAGCGAGAGGAGACGTGTGGAAAAGGGGGCGTCCCCACAGCACGGCATTCTGGGGACCAGCGCTCGGTCCCGCCCGGGAGCGGGGAGACGCCTGCACTCCTCTGTGAAGATTTATTCAGCTCTCTGGACGTCTCCTGTGTGGGGAGCAGGAGCCTCTGCCTGGGGCGGGGATCGCTGAGAATCCGCCTACACCGGCTGCTTCTAGCTCTGTTTTTAACAACTGTGACCCGTAAGCTGCTTGTTCTCCGTGGGCAGATGGGGCTCAGGCTGTCAGCCCCTGGGCCAGAGCCCTGTCCGCCCCCAGCAGAGAGTCCCCCTGAGGTGTGTGTAGGGGGCTGCTGGGCTGGTCGGTCGCGGGCGCAGCCCTGACTTGGATGTTTCTTTTGCAGAAGCGAAGCACCCGAATGAGTGTCCTCGGGAGCCAGAGTCCCCTGCACCCCTCCACCCTCAGCACCGGTAAGTCCCTGCCTCCGGTATGCAAAGAAAGTGAAAGGGAGGCGGCCACCCTCCCCGCTTCTCCCTGCTTGCTTTCCGCCCGGGCGGGCGCCCTGAGAGCTGTGGGCCGTGGGGACCCCCCGCCCCCGCCCGGGCAGCCGCAGCGCAGGGGCTGCAACCCACCTCCGGTGCCCCCCACAGTGATCCACAGGACCCAGCACTGGTTTCATGGCAGGATCTCCCGGGAGGAGTCCCACAGGATCATCAAGCAGCAGGGGCTGGTGGACGGGTAAGGAGAGCGGGTGGGGGGCGTCTGCGGGGCGGCGGTGTGTCCTGGGCATGCGGTGTGCGTGGCGCCCGGAGGGTGCTGCTGGTGGGCAGAGAGGGGAAGGGGTGCCCGAGGCGTGAGTGCCGTGAGGCTTGTCCACCAGTGAGCGTGCCCGTCTCTGCCCACGTCGCTCTCTGGGAGAGAACAAAGAACGCAGGCTGGTCCTCTCTGCTCAGGCGGGCCGGGGGCAGGTCGACACAATGCTCCCCGCGTTTCCCACCCTGTACATCAAATCAGGGCGTTTGCCCAGAGCCAACGACCCCAAACACAACCGAGCCAGGTCCTTGCTACCCGGTGGGACCAGGTGAGTGGCCCTCCCCACCTGGGCCAGCTCGGCAGGGCTGGGGTGGCTTCACTCAGGTCTGCTGGTGGCCGTAGTGATGGGGTGCTAGGCACATTTCTCCAGGGCTAGCCTGGGGTCCTTCGCAGTGTGGCCATCCCAGGGTTCTCAGGGTCAAGAGAAGCCAGACTCTGGTGTACCAGCCCCCCTCAGGGCAAATGGCCCCCAGGGCAAAGCCTGGCCACTCTCAGCCCCTCTGGGGGGGACCGCCGAGGGTGTGACTGCGGCGTGTGCCTGTGGGGCAGTTCCTGCAGCCCTGGGTGTGGCGGGCACAGCTCCCACTCCTCACCCCAAAAGGAGACACACTGTGCGCCCCTCCCTGAGCGGCCAGTTCGATGCCCTGGTCCGTTTCCTGGTGGGCTGCCCCACACGGGGTCTGCTGGATAAACGGGGTCTCGCAAGCTGCCGAACCCAAAGAACAACCCTTTGCCCTTCGTCTTTACAGAAAATCTTACTGTGGAAATTTAAAACCAGACCTGAGAGGGAAGAAAATGGTAAAACCCCCTTTGCTGCTCCCCAGATTCCGCAACCTGTTGGTCTCACTGTGTCTGTTCCCCTTGGGGCATTACTTGTCCCCCCCCCTCCTCCCTGGTTCCCCTCCCTTGGGAGCATTTCGAAGGAAATCCAGAACCTTCTAAGTTTTTACTGGGGAAGAGTTTCAGTGCGAGTCTCTGAAAACTAAGACCCTTTCTTCTGACACAGCACCACGTCCCTGTGACGCGGAAAAGCAACAGGAGCTCCTTAAATCATTAACATCCAGGCTGTGCTCAAAAACAAACAAGAAAAAAAAGTCCTTTCAGCCCGGCGGGTTTAAGTCGGGGTCCGCACCCCGCCCCGGGTCCCTATTGTCTCTGAGGTCGGCCTCCACGTCTGGTCCCTCCCTCTCCTCCATTTTCCCTCCTTCCCTTCCGCCAGCGCAGGGCTGCGGCCACCGGCTCGGGCCGGCTGCGATCTCGGGTCCCTCGCGCCCTGGAGGCCGGAGGACCGGGCAGACAGCCTCTGTGCCGGGACCAGCCTGCGGCCGCGGGGCAGCCTGCGGCCCGGGCGCGCTCCGGCCTCCGCTCCTGTGGGCGCCGCGGCTTCAGGTGCCCGGGGCCTGCCCTCGCCGCCGGCCGCCGCCCCCCGCCCGGCCTCCGTGTTTCTCTAAGGGTCAGAAACGGTGGGTTTTCTGCCTGTTTCTTCGCGGCAGCCCCATCCCCTGCCATATATTTGGTTTCCTGGAAAAATGTAGCTGAATTCCTTAATTACCAGTTAATTAAGAAGCCGGGCTTGGCGGTCGACCATCTTCGGTAGGGATGAAGGCGGCCTTTCATTTTTTAACTCGTTGTGAGCCCACGTTCTCCTGCGTTTGATCGGTTCCCCACAAAACGGACTCTGGACGCTGAAAAGGCCGTCTCTCTGGTCAGCGGGACCTCTGTCTCGCGGGCCCCACGCTAATCGAGTGGATTTCGCCGGCAACACGATTCCTGGGGCTCACGGGACACTTTTCCCCCAGGCGCCCTGATTCTTCGCTGGGAAAATGGGGTCTGGGGGCCAGAACCCTAGGTCTTTTCCAGGGACAGAGCTCAAACACACGCTGGAGCAGAGAACAGATCGGCCCCCATTGTTGGCCAGTCCGGCGGGGGGTGCGGGTGTTGGGGCCCCGGGGTTAACCTGGCTCTCTCTCCCCTGACTCTGGGAACACCCCAGTGCTGTTTTGCCGTACCCTGTGGGCCGCCTTGAAAATATTAATACGGATCCAGTCCCCTCCTCAGCCCCGAATCCTCAAGGGGCAGTACGACAGGAAGTCTCGGTCACGCTCAGGTCCCCCGAAATGACCGCTCAGGTCTCCGGTTTCCATTCTTTTTTTTATGTTTGGAAGTGGGTCTGAGTCGCACTCTCTCCAGGAGCAGGCTGCCTTGCAGATTTCCCCAAACAGCCCCAGGGTTCCAAAGTCAGGACTGAAAAAAAAAAAGGAGGCACCGCTCTGCCCCCCACCGTGCAGCAGGTAACCACTTCCTCCGCCTTTGTTTTCCCTGTTTCTCCGGGAAATACAGGCGAAGGGTTTTGTGTTCCTGGCCGCCCCTCCCGGCCCCCCTGGGGTGCCTGTGGGATGGAGAGCTGAGGGCTGAGCCCGGCTCGGCTGGGGCCACACCGCGCCCCCCCATTGCCGCTGGTGTCTTTGCTGCCAGTTCTGAGAAGCGGGGTGCCCGGGGAAGGCAGAGGCGTTTGCACCGGCGCCCCAGCTCTTCTCGGGGGACCCTGGGCTCTGCGGCGGGGAGGGAGGCGCCAGTCCTGTCCCTGCCTTTGCGCGGGTGGGGGTGGGGTGATTTTCGGTGACCCAGGTGTTTTTGTAGGGTTGCCTTTCCCCCTTTCTGCCCCATTTCTCCCTGCCCCTCTGAGACTCGGGGCTCTTTCTCCCCGGGGCACAAAGGGCTCCTTCGGTGAACTCCTCGGACTTGTTTACTTTCTCTCGCTCTTTCTCCTCTCTCTTTTGTTCACTTCTGTTCCTTCCCTTAGGCCCAAGTGCATTCCGGGTTGATTGGTCCGGGGTGCTGTGTAGAGAAGGGAGGGGTCTTCTCTGCAGAGCCCTCTCCAAAGCGGCTTCTCCCCTCGGTGCCTCTGTGGCCAGCGGCCTCCTCAGAGCTCCAGAGAGGACGGCCCTGGCCGCAGACACGCACCCCTTCGCGCGTGTCCACGGGGCGGGGGGCAGCGGCCTGGCTCTAACCCTCCTCCGCTGACATTGTTTGTTTTGAGGGGTGCGTGTTCCCCAGGCCCCCGGCACGCACTGTTCAGCTGTCCATGGCTGAGCTGTGTCCGAAGGGAGCCCCAGGTGTCCCCGTGCTGACCGCCTCGTCCCTGCCATTCCGGCTGAGGACACCGAGGGGTTTGCTTGCCAGGGGCCACAGCCCGGCAGGGAAGTGAGGATGCGTCCCCAGGGACCCCGGGCTGGGTGAGCACGCGAGTCCCCTGGGATGGGCGTGGACTGCTTCCTGCATGGAGTCCTGGGTGGCAGGTTCCCATCTTTGCAGACTTGCTGAGGGTTGGCATCTCCCGTGTCCTCCCCGGGGTCTCTGTGGTCACTGAGGTCCTCCTTTTTGTCCCAACACCTGGCTGCTGGCGCAGTGGCCACCACAAGAGTCAGGAGACCGGGGACACTGCAGTGGCACAGTGACCCCCACCTTCCTTCAGAGAAGGGCCGTGTTTCAGAAGGAAAGCGTTGTAACACAGGTCAGGGGAGTAATCAGTTCCTGAGCTGTAGCGATCCCTGCAGAGTGGGGGAAGGGAACCCATCAGAGGCCTTGGAGCAGAGGGGCCCGGCCAGGGGCAGTGCAGGGCAGCAGAGGACACAGAGCAAGAGGGTGGGGCCCCCGTTACACCTGGAGGAGGACAAGGGTGAGAAACACACCTGGGAGCTCCGGTCCCCAGCATGCAGGCCGCCCACCCAGGGACCGGTGCACGTGTGTGGAGCAGGGATCCCTGCTGAGCACTGAGCGCGCTCCTGGTGTGCACACAGTTCGGTCATGTGACGTCCACTCCGCGGCCTTTCCCGAGTGGTCCTCGCCCACACCCTCCTGACGCCAGCACACCTCCTTGACCTTCCCCTGCACCCCTTTGGCACTGGCTGTGTAGAAGCCGGAGGTTCTAGAATGTGCCTGGGGGAGGGGGTGAGTCTGTTGGCTCATGGTTAGGTTCAGGTGTCGCCTTCGGGGCAGAAGCACTACTGAGTCGCCCTCGGAGCTTCCTGTGGGCGCCCAGGGTGGCCCGTCCCCTCCCCATGGAGGTGGCCCGAATCTGCCATGCAGACCACGTGCCTGGGCTCCCTACTGGACAGTTGCTGCTTCCCTCGGTAATCCCAGGTCTCGGGGTAGGTGCGCCCAGGCTGGCGCTGTTCTGTGGTTCCACTTGCACCCTCTGGTGTCCGCGGGCCTAGTCCTGCCTGGCGAGGTGCGGGGTGACCCGGCCCCGGCTCTGAGGGCAGCTTTTCTGCTCCCGTGGACTTGCATGCGCATTCGCTCATAGCACCAGTGCAGACTCGCGGAGTCCTGTTTTATTCTGGGGCTCATCCTCCGTCCCCCCTGCTGCGGACCGTGGGGCCCGGGCGTGGCCACGCGGCCTCCTGGGCTGTCACGGTGCAGTGACACTCTCCCACCTCGTCCCCAGGGCCTGTTCCTTCCAGCAAGTGACACTCGGAAGCCACCACGGTCTGGGTTTGAGGGCTGCCGCCGCTTAGAGGCCGCTCGAGCGCTGAGCTGCCTGAATGCATGGCTGCCAGGGGAGTGTGTGAGCACGTGTGCGTGTGCGCGGGGGTGTGTGTGTCCGCGTGCGTGTGCTCGCTGAGCCGATGTTTACATTGACCGTCATCTTCTGTTCCCAGGCTGTTTCTGCTCCGCGACAGCCAGAGCAACCCCAAGGCGTTTGTGCTCACGCTGTGCCATCACCAGAAAATAAAAAATTTTCAGATCCTACCTGTAAGTATTGAGATCGTACAGACTAACCAGAATGTAGATCACTAAATAGCAGGCAGCACCGGGCTCACAGGTGAGACGCTTCCGAGAGTTTCGGAGAGGTCGGTTCATCGCAAAGGGGCAGAGTGTCTCCCCAGCGGGCCCAGCTGGCAGCCGGGGCGGGACTCGCGGGCACCCCGGGAGCCAGGAGTCCTGGGAGCAGCACAGGGAGGGTGGACACGCTGTGTCCCCCTGGGCCACTCGAGTTGAAGGCCAGCTGCTTTCTGCGGGGATGTTCCCGCCGAGGCCACAGGTGGAGAGACTCGGCCAGGGCCCAGCAGATGCCGTCTCTGACCACGTCCCCAGCCAGCCTTCCCAGGTGCTCCTGACCGCCCGCCTGGTGGAGCACGTCCCATTTGTCACTCACGCCCCCGCCCTCCCTCCGCGCCACAGCCCAGGTGCTCCCGTGACTCGGGTGCTCTGGGGAGACAGCTGTCTCGCCCCCAGGGATTCCCCGTTCAGTGGGCACGAGGTATACGGGGGGAACAGCACACTTTTCATACCGCGCTGGCACTCACGGCTGTCGGGGTCTTGTCCTGTGGAGCAAGTCCCAGGACGCCCCGCGGGAGGGCCGGGCTGGCGCCTCCTGGGCCCCTCCGTCCACCACGCCAAACTCCAAGAAGGCCGACAGCTCTGAGTCCCGTGTCGCGCAGGTGACCTGGTGGTCTCCGCGCTGGTTTGATCCAGGAGTTCAGTCCCACTGCAGGGCCGCAGAGAGAGGGCCACCTTGGAGCCCTGTGAGCCGGGTGGGGCGGCTGCTTCCTGCCACACCTCACCCATGAGGGACAGGCAGGGTCTGGGCTTGGGCCCCGTATTCCCAGGTTCCGCCAGTGCACGGGAAGCCTGGGGTTTGTTGTCTGAGAGAAAGTGCGGCTTTCACAGCCCTCTGTTTCCCCACATTAATCTTGGGCACAGATGCTGTTCCCTTAGCCCGAGATGGGGCAGCAGAAACTCCTTTGTGGCAGGCACGTTACCCTAGAGACCCCTGTCCCACAGTGCAGGGCACGAGATAGACTTAGAGCAGCTCATTGCAGCTCAGGCTGAGGAGGGGGCCACGGGGGCCCCTTTGGTCCAGTCCGGCGGGTTTTCAGAGTGAAGGCTCTTCTGAGTGTCCTACGGGACAAAGGTGTGCGGTGGACGGAGTCTGTGGGACAGTGCAGGGACAGACGTGTGAAGCCAACGGTCTCCATGGGACAGTGCAGGGGACCAGGTGTGAAGCCGACGGTCTCCATGGGACAGTGCAGGGGACCAGGTGTGAAGCCGACGGTCTCCATGGGACAGTGCAGGGGACCAGGTGTGAAGCCGACGGTCTCCATGGGACAGTGCAGGGAACCAGGTGTGAAGCCGGCGGTCTCCATGGGACAGTGCAGGGGACCAGGTGTGAAGCCGACGGTCTCCACGGGACAGTGCAGGGGACCAGGTGTGAAGCCGACGGTCTCCACGGGACAGTGCAGGGGACCAGGTGTGAAGCCGACGGTCTCCATGGGACAGTGCAGGGGACCAGGTGTGAAGCCGACGGTCTCCATGGGACAGTGCAGGGGACCAGGTGTGAAGCCGACGGTCTCCATGGGACAGTGCAGGGGACCAGGTGTGAAGCCGACGGTCTCCATGGGACAGTGCAGGGGACCAGGTGTGAAGCCGACGGTCTCCATGGGACAGTGCAGGGACAGACGTGTGAAGCTGACGGTCTCCATGGGACAGTGCAGGGGACCAGGTGTGAAGCCGACGGTCTCCATGGGACAGTGCAGGGGACCAGGTGTGAAGCCGACGGTCTCCATGGGACAGTGCAGGGGACCAGGTGTGAAGCCGACGGTCTCCATGGGACAGTGCAGGGACCAGGTTGTGAGCCGACGGTCTCCATGGGACAGTGCAGGGGACCCAGTGTGAGCCGACGGCTCCATGGGACAGTGCAGGGGACCAGGTGTGAAGCCGACGGTCCTCCATGGGACAGTGCAGGGACCAGGTGTGAAGCCGACGGTCTCCATGGGACAAGTGCAGGGACAGACGTGTGAAGCTGACGGTCTCCTGGACAGTGCAGGGGACCAGGTGTGAAGCCGACGGTCCTCCATGGGACAGTGCAGGGGACCAGGTGTGAAGCCGACGGCTCCATGGGACAGTTCAGGGGACCAGGTGTAAGCCGACGGTCCTCCATGGACAGTGCAGGGGACCAGGTGTGAAGCCGACGGTCTCCATGGGACAGTGCAGGGGACCAGGTGTGAAGCCGACGGTCTCCACTGGGACAGTGCAGGGGACCAGGTGTGAAGCCGACGGTCTCCAGGGACAGTGCAGGGGAGCCAGGTGTGAAGCCGACGGTCTCCCTGGGACAGTGCAGGGGACCAGGTGTGAAGCCGACGGTCTCCATGGGACAGTGCAGGGGACCGAGGTGTGAAGCCGACGGTCTCCATGGGACAGTGCAGTGGACCAGGTGTGAAGCGACGGTCTCCATGGGACAGTGCAGGGGATGAGGTGTGAGCGACGGTCCCATGGGACAGTGCAGGGGACCAGGTGTTGAAGCCGACGGTCTCCATGGGACAGTGCAGGGGCCCAGGTGTGAAGACGACGAGTCTCCCATGGGACAGTGCAGGGGACCAGGTGTGAAGCCGACGGTCTCCCTGGGACAGTGCAGGGGACCAGGTGTGAAGCCGACGGCCTCCATGGGACAGTGCAGGGGACCAGGTGTGAAGCCGACGGTCTCCATGGGACAGTGCAGGGGACCAGGTGTGAAGCCGACGGTCCTCCATGGGACAGTGCAGGGACCAGAGGTGTGAAGCCGACGGTCCTCCATGGGACAGTGCAGGGACAGGTGTGAAGCCGACGTCTCCATGGGACAGTGCAGGGACCAGGTGTGAAGCCGACGGCCTCCCTGGGACAGTGCAGGGACCAGTTGTGAAGCCGACGGCCTCCATGGGACAGTGCAGGGAACCAGGTGTGAAGCCGACGGTCTCCATGGGACAGTGCAGGGGACCAGGTGTGAAGCCGACGGTCTCCATGGGACAGTGCAGGGGACCAGGTGTGAAGCCGACGGTCTCCCTGGGACAGTGCAGGGGAACCAGGTGTGAAGCCGACGGTCTCCATGGGACAGTGCAGGGGACCAGGTGTGAAGCCGACGGTCCTCCCCAGGACAGTGCAGGGAACCAGGTGTGAAGCCGACGGTCTCCATGGGACAGTGCAGGGGACCAGGTGTGAGCCGACGGTCTCCCCAGGACAGTGCAGGGAACCAGGTGTGAAGCCGACGGTCTCCATGGACAGTGCAGGGGACCAGGTGTGAAGCCGACGGTCTCCCCCAGGACAGTGCAGGGAACCAGGTGTGAAGCCGACGGTCTCCATGGGACAGTGCAGGGACAGAGGTGTGAAGCCGACGGCCTCCATGGGACAGTGCAGGGACAGAGGTGTGAAGCCGACGGTCTCCCTGGGACAGTGCAGGGAACCAGGTGTGAAGCCGACGGTCTCCCCGGGACAGTGCAGGGGACCAATGGTGTGAAGGCCGACGGTCTCCCCCAGGACAGTGCAGGGAACCAGGTGTGAAGCCGACGGTCTCCATGGGACAGTGCAGGGGACCAGGTGTGAAGCCGACGGTCTCCATGGGACAGTGCAGGGGACCAGGTGTGAAGCCGACGGTCTCCCCAGGACAGTGCAGGGAACCAGGTGTGAAGCCGACGGTCTCCATGGGACAGTGCAGGGGACCAGGTGTGAAGCCGACGGTCTCCCCAGGACAGTGCAGGGAACCAGGTGTGAAGCCGACGGTCTCCATGGGACAGTGCAGGGGACGAGGTGTGAAGCCGACGGTCTCCATGGGACAGTGCAGGGGACCAGGTGTGAAGCCGACGGTCTCCATGGGACAGTGCAGGGAACCAGGTGTGAAGCCGACGGTCTCCCCAGGACAGTGCAGGGAACCAGGTGTGAAGCCGACGGTCTCCATGGGACAGTGCAGGGGACCAGGTGTGAAGCCGACGGTCTCCATGGGACAGTGCAGGGGACCAGGTGTGAAGCCGACGGTCTCCATGGGACAGTGCAGGGGACCAGGTGTGAAGCCGACGGTCTCCCCAGGACAGTGCAGGGAACCAGGTGTGAAGCCGACGGTCTCCATGGGACAGTGCAGGGGACCAGGTGTGAAGCCGACGGCCTCCATGGGACAGTGCAGGGAACCAGGTGTGAAGCCGGCGGTCTCCATGGGACAGTGCAGGGACCCCAGGTGTGAAAGCCGATGGTCTCCATGGGACAGTGCAAGGGGACTAGGTGTGAAGCCGACGGTCTCCATGGGACAGTGAGGGGACCAGGTGTTGAAGCGATGGTCTCCATGGGACAGTGCAGGGGACGAGGTGTGAAGCCGACGGTCTCCACGGGACAGTGCAGGGGACCAGGTGTGAAGCCGACGGTCTCCATGGGACAGTGCAGGGGATGAGGTGTGAAGCCGACGGTCTCCATGGGACAGTGCAGGGGACCAGGTGTGAAGCCGACGGTCTCCATGGGGACAGTGCAGGGGACCAGGTGTGAAAGCCGACGGTCTCCATGGGACAGTGCAGGGGACGAGGTGTGAAGCCGACGGTCTCCATGGGACAGTGCAGGGGACCAGGTGTGAAGCCGACGGTCTCCATGGGACAGTGCAGGGAACCAGGTGTGAAGCCGACGGTCTCCATGGGACAGTGCAGGGGACCAGGTGTGAAGCCGACGGTCTCCATGGGAAGTGCAGGGGGACCAGGTGTGAAGCCGACGGTCTCCATGGGACAGTGCAGGGGACAGGTGTGAAGCCGACGGGTCTCCATGGGACAGTTGCAGGGACCAGGTGTGAAGCCGACGGTCTCCCCAGGACAGTGCAGGGGACCAGGTGTGAAGCCGACGGTCTCCATGGGACAGTGCAGGGGACCAGGTGTGAAGCCGACGGTCTCCATGGGACAGTGCAGGGAACCAGGTGTGAAGCCGACGGCCTCCATGGGACAGTGCAGGGGACCAGGTGTGAAGCCGACGGTCTCCATGGGACAGTGCAGGGACCAGGTGTGTGAAGCCGACGGTCTCCCCTGGGACAGTGCAGGGGACCAGGTGTGAAGCCGACGGTCTCCATGGGACAGTGCAGGGGACCAGGTGTGAAGCCGACGGTCTCCCTGGGACAGTGCAGGGGACCAGGTGTGAAGCCAACGGCCTCCATGGGACAGTGCAGGGGACCAGGTGTGAAGCCGACGGCCTCCCTGGGACAGTGCAGGGGACCAGGTGTGAAGCCAACGGTCTCCATGGGACAGTGCAGGGGACCAGGTGTGAAGCCGACGGTCTCCATGGGACAGTGCAGGGGATGAGGTGTGAAGCCGACGGTCTCCCTGGGACAGTGCAGGGGACCAGGTGTGAAGCCGACGGTCTCCATGGGACAGTGCAGGGGATGAGGTGTGAAGCCGACGGTCTCCATGGGACAGTGCAGGGGACCAGGTGTGAAGCCGACGGTCTCCCTGGGACAGTGCAGGGGATGAGGTGTGAAGCCGACGGCCTCCATGGGACAGTGCAGGGGACCAGGTGTGAAGCCGACGGTCTCCATGGGACAGTGCAGGGGATGAGGTGTGAAGCCGACGGTCTCCATGGGACAGTGCAGGGGATGAGGTGTGAAGCCGACGGTCTCCATGGGACAGTGCAGGGGACCAGGTGTGAAGCCGACGGTCTCCCTGGGACAGTGCAGGGGATGAGGTGTGAAGCCGACGGCCTCCATGGGACAGTGCAGGGGACCAGGTGTGAAGCCGACGGTCTCCATGGGACAGTGCAGGGGACCAGGTGTGAAGCCGACGGTCTCCCCGGGACAGTGCAGGGGACCAGGTGTGAAGCCGACGGCCTCCATGGGACAGTGCAGGGGACCAGGTGTGAAGCTGACGGTCTCCATGGGACAGTGCAGGGGACCAGGTGTGAAGCCGACGGTCTCCATGGGACAGTGCAGGGACAGAGGTGTGAAGCCGACGGCCTCCATGGGACAGTGCAGGGACAGAGGTGTGAAGCCGACGGTCTCCCTGGGACAGTGCAGGGAACCAGGTGTGAAGCCGACGGTCTCCCCGGGACAGTGCAGGGGACCAGGTGTGAAGCCGACGGTCTCCCCAGGACAGTGCAGGGGACCAGGTGTGAAGCCGACGGTCTCCATGGGACAGTGCAGGGGACCAGGTGTGAAGCCGACGGTCTCCCCAGGACAGTGCAGGGAACCAGGTGTGAAGCCGACGGTCTCCATGGGACAGTGCAGGGGACAGGTGTGAAGCCGACTGGTCTCCATGGGACAGTGCAGGGGACCAGGTGTGAAGCCGACGGTCTCCATGGGACAGTGCAGGGGACCAGGTGTGAAGCCGACGGCCTCCATGGGACAGTGCGGGACCAGGTGTGAAGCCGCCGGTCTCCATGGGACAGTGCAGGGAACCAGGTGTGAAGCCGATGGTCTCCATGGGACAGTGCAGGGGACAGGTGTGTGAAGCCGACGGTCTCCCTGGGACAGTGCAGGGGACCAGGTGTGAAGCCGACTGGTCTCCATGGGACAGTGCAGGGGACGAGGTGTGAAGCCGACGGTCTCCCTGGGACAGTGCAGGGGACCAGGTGTGAAGCCGACGGTCTCCATGGGACAGTGCAGGGACTAGGTGTGAAGCCGACGGTCTCCATGGGACAGTGCAGGGGACGAGGTGATGAAGCCGACGGTCTCCATGGGAACAGTGCAGGGGACCAGTGTGAAGCCGACGGCTCTCCATGGGACAGTGCAGGGGACGAAGGTGTGAAGCCGCACGGTCTCCATGGGACAGTGCAAGGGGACCAGGATGTGAAGCCGTACTGGTCTCCATGGGACAGTGCCGGGGAACGAGGTTGTGAAGCCGACGGTCTCCCCATGGACAGTGCAGGGGACCAGGTGTGTGAAGCCGACGGTCTCCCCATGGGACAGTGCAGGGGATCAGGTTTTGTGAAGCCGACGGTCTCCATGGGGGGGGACAGTGCAGGGACCAGTTGTGAAGCGACGGTCCTCCATGGGACCATGTGCAGGGAACCAGGTGTGAAAGCCGCCGGCCTTCCATGGGACAGTGCAGGGGACAGGTGTGAAGCCGACGGTCTCCATGGGACAAGTGCAGGGGACCAGGTGTGAAGCCGACGGTCTCCTCGGGCCAGTTGCAGGGGACAAGGTGTTTGAAGCGACGGTCTCATGGGACAGTGCAGGGGACTAGGTCTTGAAGCCGACGTCTCCCCTGGACAGTGCAGGGGACCAGGTGTGAAGCCGACGGCCTCCATGGGACAGTGCAGGGGACCAGGTGTGAAGCCGACGGCCTCCATGGGACAGTGCAGGGGACCAGGTGTGAAGCCAACGGTCTCCATGGGACAGTGCAGGGGACCAGGTGTGAAGCCGACGGTCTCCATGGGACAGTGCAGGGGACCAGGTGTGAAGCCGACGGTCTCCCCAGGACAGTGCAGGGAACCAGGTGTGAAGCCGACGGTCTCCATGGGACAGTGCAGGGGACCAGGTGTGAAGCCGACGGTCTCCATGGGACAGTGCAGGGGACCAGGTGTGAAGCCGACGGTCTCCCAAGGACAGTGCAGGGACCAGGTGTGAAGCCGACGGCCTCCATGGGACAGTGCAGGGGACCAGGTGTGAAGCCGACGGTCTCCATGGGACAGTGCAGGGGACCAGGTGTGAAGCCGACGGTCTCCCCAGGACAGTGCAGGGAACCAGGTGTGAAGCCGACGGTCTCCCCAGGACAGTGCAGGGGACCAGGTGTGAAGCTGACGGTCTCCACGGGACAGTGCAGGGGACCAGGTGTGAAGCTGACGGTCTCCATGGGACAGTGCAGGGGATGAGGTGTGAAGCCGACGGTCTCCACGGGACAGTGCAGGGGACCAGGTGTGAAGCCGACGGTCTCCACGGGACAGTGCAGGGGACCAGGTGTGAAGCTGACGGTCTCCACGGGACAGTGCAGGGGACCAGGTGTGAAGCCGACGGTCTCCATGGGACAGTGCAGGGGACCAGGTGTGAAGCTGACGGTCTCCATGGGACAGTGCAGGGGACCAGGTGTGAAGCTGACGGTCTCCACGGGACAGTGCAGGGGACCAGGTGTGAAGCTGACGGTCTCCACGGGACAGTGCAGGGGACCAGGTGTGAAGCTGACGGTCTCCATGGGACAGTGCAGGGGACCAGGTGTGAAGCCGACGGTCTCCATGGGACAGTGCAGGGGATGAGGTGTGAAGCCGACGGTCTCCACGGGACAGTGCAGGGGACCAGGTGTGAAGCCGACGGTCTCCATGGGACAGTGCAGGGGACCAGGTGTGAAGCTGACGGTCTCCATGGGACAGTGCAGGGGATGAGGTGTGAAGCCGGCGGTCTCCCTGGGACAGTGCAGGGGACCAGGTGTGAAGCTGACGGTCTCCATGGGACAGTGCAGGGGATGAGGTGTGAAGCCGACGGTCTCCACGGGACAGTGCGGGGGACCAGGTGTGAAGCTGACGGTCTCCCTGGGACAGTGCAGGGGACCAGGTGTGAAGCTGACGGTCTCCACGGGACAGTGCAGGGGACCAGGTGTGAAGCCGACGGTCTCCATGGGACAGTGCAGGGGACGAGGTGTGAAGCCGACGGCCTCCCTGGGACTGTCCTGCTCACACTGTATTAGTGTATCAGTGATCGATATTAAAATGTGCTGAGTAAGAACAATGCTAGGAATACAGTTCACACTAAACCACACAAGCTTGAAATTAGGGGTCCTCTTATATGTCAATTGTCTTTCAATTGGTACTGTTCTTAAGATGTTCTTAGTCACATTTTCTTTTCTTTAGCTTACTTTATTGTGAGAAAGCGGTACATAATACACATAACATACAAAATATGTGTGAATTGAGTAGCAGTTAGGTTTTGGGGAGTCAGAAGCTATACCTGCACTTTCAGCTGTGTGCTCCTAACCCCCTCATTACGGTCGGCCGTTCGGTTCATCCTGAGAGCTTCTCTGTTCTAGTAGAAATAGCTGCCAAATGATGGGGGGCCTCAGGAAGCTGCTCACCCTGTGGCTGGTTAACCTTTACCCTGGTGCAGCGTTTACTTGGTAGTGAGGCCGAGTGAGCATCAGGGGCCAAAGGAGGTTGCGGGTGAATACTTACAGGTTAACTGGTCTACCTCACCCTCCTGGGCGGGCAAGCTGGAGGGACGTGAATGTCTTCCCCACGACCCCCTCAGGACCAGTGCCCACTGAGTCCGGCACCCCGTAGGGGTGTGACCGCACCCAGCTCAGACACCCCACTGCCGACCTCCTGCCCCGATGTTAGCTCACCCTGCAGGCGGCACCGTGGCCCTTAGGAACCAGACGGCGGGCTCCGTGCCGACCGGGCTCCCTATTGCGTCGCCGAGGGGCGGCCTCTAACCTGGCGAGTGTTCTTGTGTCTCTTAGTGTGAGGATGACGGGCAGATGTTCTTCAGCCTTGATGATGGGAACACCAAATTCTCCGACCTGATCCAGCTCGTCGACTTCTACCAGCTCAACAAGGGCGTGCTGCCTTGCAAGCTGAAGCATCACTGTGTCCGCGTGGCTTTGTGACTTCGCACGCGGCTCGCCCGGCGGCTGAGGCGCGTCCTTGTGACCCGCGACCTCAGACCCGCCGCGGCTGATGGAGGAGGAGGAGGAGGAGGCCTGTGCATGGTTGAGAATACATTTTAATTCTGTACCTTGGGAGCGAAATCAGTTCCTTTGGTGCCATCCCCCCCCCTCAAGATTGCCTAGTTTCTTGGACTTAACGATGATTTGCTGCTGTGGGTCCTGCCGGCCACATGGGGGCACCAAAGAGCGCGCGCCAAATTGAGATCAAGCGGGAAGACGGTCCTGGCGGGGCCACGCGGGGATCGGAGAGAAGTGATTGGATATAAACTCTTGCCCTGGAATAATCTTGACAATTAAAACTGCGATGTTTACTTTTTGTTATTGATCACTTTTTTGCACTCCTCTGTTTCCCCTGTTGTATTCAGCCTCTGGTGGCGGGGATGTGGCTTCTTAGCGCATAGAAGACGGAGCGGCAGTTCCGGACGGCAGACGGCACGGACTGGGCCCCAGAGGCCTCCCGAGGGCGGCCCCACCTCCTGCAGGTCACCGTAGGTGGAGTCGGCGTCCGAATAACGCACGCCCTCGCCCTTCCCAACATACTTGAAGAGCTTTTCTTAACAAAAAATTAAAGGTGTCACCTGTGGTCTGCCCTGGGCGCACTCCGTGGACCCGTCAGGCATCCACGGTCTGCCAGCCGCTCCTCTGTGCGCAGGTCCCCCCGATCCTGTCCTAGGGCACCTCTCTCCCCCAGCGCAGGAGGCTCGCTTCCTCAGAACGGTCACCGCCCGCGCCCGGCGGGGCCGAGTGGCCGCCCCGCAAGTCGGACACACAGCCTTCCCGAGACACACGTGGTGCCCCGTCTGCCAGCCCTCCGTCCACCGGGGCCTCTGCAGCCTGTTCCAGAATGAACGGGTCCCGCCTCGCCCCTGCAGTGACGTGAGCCCCCTCACGCTGTCCTCCCTCGGAGATTCAAGATTCTGACAAGAAAATGTCATCTGCTCGGCTTCCTGCGGGCTCGCAGGTTTCCACGGTGACGCAGATGACAGCATCGAAAGGGCGCATCCCCAGCCCGGCATCCGCGATGGTGCCCGGTGACCCCCGTCCTGAAGGCCCCGTGCCAGAGGCAGCTGGCCGCCCCCCTGCCGGCTCGTACCTCACAGCAGCTGCGGACATGGACCTATTTTTCCAGTACCAGCCACACTGCTCCCCGCTCCGGGAGCCAGGTCGGGGGTGCCCTGTCCCCCGAGCTGTTACCAGGTTTGAGAGTGGCCGTGTCTTTCTTTACCTTTGGTCTCTGACGAGCACACAGACTACTGTGGTGAAAGTGATTTTCTTGTCCAATAGCAGTTCTGACACTTGACTGGCCCCTCTGGACGTGCCCCACGGGACGGCCCCGCGCTGACCTGCCGCGGGGCTCCCCAGAAACACCGCTCAGACAGGCCGGCGGCCTCGGGGAGCACGTCCCCCCACGCCAGTCAGTGTTCTCGAACGGCGAGGCCCTGCACAGGCCACACTCTCGTTTCCATGACTGTCCACTTATACAAATGAAGAAGCTTTAGTAGATGTGTTTAACCATAAGCGCTTACTTGTGTTATCTTCTTTATTTTTTCCTTTTTTTTTCTTTTTTTTTTTTTTTACCCAGTTCCCAGTTCATCTTTTCACACCATTGACCATTTGACGAGTCCCGAGCGCCCCCCGCGGTGCGCTGCCCCGCGTCCACCCCAGGGGCCGACTCTCCAGTGACGCCGTCACACATTCTCTTTGCTGGTTGGGTGTTGAATCTTAGAAACAACGCGGAACAGGCCTCTCTGACGCCTTCCTGTTCGCGCGGACCAGCCCACCGGCGAGGTGAGGCCCGCACACCCTTCCCGGCAGACAGCCAGAGTTCTCAGCATTTCATATTTATGAGCATTTTATTTAAAAGGGCAGCAGAAGCTTGACTCTGACTCAGTTCCGCATGTAGCTGGTGTGACCTGGCCCTGGTGCCTTCCCGGCCGCGGTGAATTGTTCACGGGGCCGACTTGGCGGGGCGCCGCCTCGTCTTGCCCGGGCCGGGGGGCCGCCTGACAGCAGCCGGTCCCCGGAGGAGGCTCCGTCCACCTGCCAGCCGGGGGCCGAGCACACCAGCCTTTATTTTTGTATTTCAGTGACGTGAATGTAACCAGGACAGCTCAGGGTCGCCCTGGAGCCTGCTGAGTTGTCATCTCTCTGCCTGTGATTTTCTTTTAAAATGAACCTCCGTGGAGCAGCCCGGGCAACACGGAGAAGGAAACACGGTGCTTAAGGGGCCCCACTTCCTGGGCGAGCTCTGTTAGGTCAGGATGCTTTTCTGTCTGCTGAACCCTGAAGAAATATGTGCCTCACTCAGGAGTTCTGTCTTGTGTTTCTGCACCTCGTGCCTGACGGTCCGAGCCGTCGGCTCGCCTCCCGGGGCGGGATCGCTCCCGGCGAGGGCGACTGCGCGGCCAGCCCGATGACCACCCCGCGGCCGCGTTGCCAGGGAACGCAGAAGGTGTTAGGAGACAGAACTTCGCTCCATGTGCTTTGCTCCTCTGTACATAGGTCCTCAGCTCATGACCCACTTGTAAACGTTCAGGTATTTTTGTACAAATAAGGGACTGGTGATCTCTTTCTTGTAATTTGAAATAAACATTAATACAGTGTTTTTCGTTTGCTATCCGTGTCCGTTTCTGTTTTTTTAAAACCTCCAGCTGCTCAGCAGCCAAAACCCTTTGGGGGGGGGGGCGCCATGGTGCTCGCGCCGGGGAGCACGAGGCGAGAGGAGCTGGGGAGCACCTGCTGGCCAGCGTGGCCCTGCCGAGTCCCGGCTCTCCGATCGATCGGTCAGCAGGCTGGGTGGGCTCTGCGCTGGTGCCTGGCGGCCTCAGCTCCCCTGCAGGAACGGGGGGCCTGGAGCTCCACTCAGGCTTAGCAAACCCACCGGAAACCCATTCGAGAAGTCCAGGGTCATTTCCCTGCTCCAGTGGGCTGTTCACGTGGCAGGAACCTGCACTTTCTAGTCCCAGGAGGACTTGGCGGAAGGATTGGGGGAGATGCTACCCCGTGTCTCTCCTTCCTGGGACCTCACCTGGGGACCCCGCCCTCCTGCCCCGCCCCGCCCCGCCCCGCACAGCAGAGAGCACGCAGGTGTCACAGCTCGGCCTTGTCCACCCCGGAGCACACCTGTCCCTGCTGCCAGGAGGGTCCTCGGTGCCTGGCTGCGCCCTGCCCTGCCCTGCGCTGCCTCCACGTCTGTCCCAAGGCTGCCCGTCTGTCCTGCTCCTGCCTCACCAGCACACTCCCGGGACCGGTCACTTTCCCTCAGCCGTCCACCTTCTAGGGTCCAGTCATCCCAGCCAGGGTCCCCACGTGCCTGGATCAGGGCCCCTCATTGCCATGGAGCCCCGCTCCCCACCCAACAGTGTTTATTTTATTTATATTTCCATTATTGATTTTAGAGAGAGGAAGGGACAGGGAGAGAGAAACATCGATGAGAACATCGACTGGACTCCTCCTGCACGCCCCCCACGGAATCTGGCCCACAACCTGGGCATGTGCCCTGACTGGGAATCGAACCGGCGACCTCTTGGTGCAGGGTTGATGCTCAGCCACTGAGCCACACCGGCCGGGCCAGCAGCATTTAAACTTCGCTTGTCCAAGGGTAGTCCGAGGTGTCCGGTACAACACGTGGACATAAAGAACAGTGTCTGACAGTAGTGGGCGGGGGGTTGGGGGGTGACGGGCGGAGCACATGGAACCAAGGGTCTGCATCTTCCGGAGACCCTGTCCCCGTGACCTTGAGAGGTGGGTTACAAAAGCGGCCTCAGCTTTAAGTGGCCTAAACGAGGAGGCAGCCTGGTCAGGGGGAGGAGCCAGGGTGTCACGGAGGTGGGGCACGCGGCGGTTCAGCGGGGGCTCTGCCACGCATGTGACGTGCCCCTGGTTGGCCCGTACAGGCCACTGCAGGCCCTTCCTCGACGACAATGGTCTCGTGGGCTGTTTGTTTACCTTCCCCAAGGGCGGGCCCAGGGCCACAGTCGTGGGTCACAGCACAGCCCATGGGGAGCCCCTGGCAGGTCCACGTCAGGCCTGGGGAGAAGTGTGGGTCAGGGGCTGCTGGGACCCCCTCCGAACCTCCAAGTTCTCGTGACAGCTTCACTGTGTGCCCGACGGGACGGTCAGGGAGGGCCCGGGATGAGGGCCTGGAATGGACTGCAGTTGGTGTCCTGCTGGGTCAGGTGGCTTTCGTCCTGACCTGACCATGGTTTCTCCCACGAGGGATCACCAGGGACCCAGGCTCAGGGATCCCAAATACTAGGGACGAGCAGTTGTTCCCGGGCTAGGTGGGGTCAGCCTCCCTGCCAACCAGCCTCTGCCGTCAGACGCATTAGGGCCTGGGGTTCACGGGTCACGCCTCAAGCCATTCGGCCTAGAAGGGCAGTGGACTGGCCTGCGTGTCACAGAGCCGCCCAGTGGAGAGGCACACCCCGTTCCCTCTGGGGGCGGGACAGAAAGCCGGGTGTCATGGCTCCCCAGCACCGTGCGTGGACCAAGCGCATCGCAGAAGGCTCCCGCGGCGACGGCACCGGCCTGCGCTCCTGGACGGGTGACGTCGAGGCTGAAGTCTCAGCGGCGGGCAGCGCTCCGTGACCACGGTGGCACGGCGCCCGCTGGACTGCACCCTCGGCTGGCGGTCCTGTGCTCCCTGCCAGCCGCCCCTCCTGGGCGGCACATTTGCTGAGGTGCGCGCGTGTTTAACCTTGGGGAGACATCCTGTGGGGGCAAACACACGACCGCTCTCCCGGCACCCGGGGCTTCTCACGGGGTCCAGTGGGTCCCGCAGATCCCAAGTCTCCACAGAGCAGTGAGTTGAAGCCGTGCACTGTCCCCAGAGTCCAGGACGGGATCTGGCTCTGCAGGGCGCTGGCTGGGGGTGAGGCCTTCCATCCCAAGTTAATGTTTAACCAGCACAAAGGCTGGGAAGGCCAAACCGGCGCAGAGCTGTGAGCACGAACCCAGGCTCTCCCCCACGTCCGGCCCCCCCAGCCCCGGCTCTCCTGAGGGACAGCAGGCCGACCCCCGGAACCAAACTCCCCACAGGCAAGTCTCCGCTTTGATTCTTAATCAGATTATTCTTGCTGGAAATGGTGACACCTCGACCTCCGGTTTCACAGTGCAGAACGTCTGCTTGGAGGTTAATTCACCGGAGGGCTGGAGGTTGTTCCTGGTGTTTAAGGGTTGTCGCCCGTGCTGCCGGTGGCGGGGGTGCGGCGGGGGTGCGGCGGGCACGGTCTGATGAGGCGGGGGCCCGGCCTGATGGCCCAGACCTGAGTGACCAGCACCCGGTTCCTCTCCGCCCCTTTCCACCGCGGGTCTGGGCACCGGCTTCCCTGCGCGTCTGTCTCTTCCTCTGTAAAATGGGGTGTTGATACCCGTTGGAGGATTCCATGGAAAACACCTGGCACCTGGGACATGATGAAGAAATGTGAATACTGCCCTTATCTCTGGTTACTGAGGAGAGAGACCACCTCCTCACATATTTACGAGACCTTTTGTTTTCGTTTCTGTTGGGTTGACTTTTTCTTACTGCTAATGTCTTTATATTATAGCCCAACCCATGACGGGCTCTGTGCATTTCGAATACCGGCCTCTGCTTTGCCGTCTGTCTTTCTGGTTTCTGCAGTTGGAAGAACAGACATGCTTTTTTCTTAATCCTCACCCAAGGATATATATATATTTTTAATTTATCTTCAGATAGAGTGGGAGGGAGAGAGGGAGAAACATCCATGTGAGAGAGAGAGACACATAGACTGGTTGCCTCCCACACGACCCCGACCAGGGCCGGGGACGAACCGCAACCGAGGTCCGTGCCCTTGACCAGAATCAACCCTGTGACTCTTTGGTCCCCGGGCCAACGCTCCAACTGCTGAGCCAAACAGGCCAGGGTGAACTAGAAATTCTTCACAGTCAGGCAGTCAAATCCGTCAGTCTTTTATGGTTATCTGATTAAAGGGATCGTATAAGAAATCTTTGCCCTCCACGGTCACAAACACACACCTCTCTCTCTGTCGCCCCACACAGTCTGCCTTTCGGTTGAGGGTTTAATCTGCCGGGAGTGAGGACGGGTTCCATTTCATTTGTCCCCAAGTGTTGACCAGTTGTCCCAACTCTGTTTGCTAGTCTGTGGTCTTTATTACTGTGTTATTCTCCCTGTGTTTGTGTTCCTTCCTTTGTGGGGTGTTTTCCCGGCTCTCTGCTCTGTTCGTTGGTCAGTCTGTGTCCTTACAGCAGAAACATCACCTCTTCACAGCTTCTCTGTCCGGAAGGGTGTGGAGCCAGCCCCCACCAGATCCCCTTTCTCCAGAGCACACGGCCCCCTCTCAGACTCCTGCTTTTCCATGGATATTTACTTTATACTTAAAAAAATATATTTTTTTAAATCCATATCCAAGGACATTTTTGCATTTATCTTCAGATAGAGAGGGAGGGAGGGAGGGAGGAAGAGAGAGAGAGAGAAACATCGACTTGAGAGAAACACATTGAGTGGTCACCACCCACACGACCCAACCAGGGCCGGGGACAAACTGCAACCGAGGTACGCGCCCTTAGCGGGAACCAAACCCGGGACTCTCAGGCCCGCGGGCCGACGCTCTAACCGCTGAGCCAGTCCGGCCAGGGCCATGTATATTTATTTTACAGTCAGATGTCTGTGTCCGGGTTCTGACTGAGGACATTGGAAACACAGTGTCGCGTGTTCCTCCCCACGAACGGACGGACATTGACCGCCGTGTCCACAGGTCTTCCCCATCCTCACGGCTTTGTAAGGCTCCTCATACAGTCCAGCAGGTCCGTGGTTGGGCTCCGCCCACTGTCCTGTCCTAAGGTGAGTCCTGTCTTGTGGTCAGCACTGCGGGCGGCCCAGCGGCTGGCCCACCGTCACCCTCGGGTGAGGAGGACAGCCTTGCGCTGGAGCCCGGAGCCCGGCGCCCTCACCCACGCACATTTTTCTGCTTCCACTCGGATTCAGACCTCAGACTCCTCCCTCTCTCCACTGTCGCCTGTCCTGCCCCGTCCGCTTCCTGAGCCGCGCACCTTCGGCCTCGCTCGCGGCCTCCCGGACCGGCCTTGCCCCGAGCGCCGTCCAGGGCTGCCCGCCCGGCCTCCCTCGGGCTCTGCGTCCTCACACCTGCTGCATGCTGGGCGCAGCTGGCATCTGCCTCCTCTCTCCTGTTGACTCTTCGTGGTCTGTCTGCCACCCTGCGGCGGGACCCCCGCGGCAGACCCGGCCACACCCAGCACAAGGGCAGGCTGGCCGGCGGGGAGCAGTGTGGGTGAGCCCTGCTCAGCCCCGTGTTAGCTCTGTGACCTTGGGCACGTGTCCTGACTTCTCTGGGCCTCTGTTTCCTCATCTGTACAATGTGGGTGATGGCCTTGGTCCACGGGAGGCCACTGTGAGGGCTCGATGAGCCCGTGTGAAAATGCCGTGACCTTCCCAAAAGCCCCGCGATATCACAGTGATTGAAACGGAGATGTCCCTCTCCTCAGAGGCCAGAGCTGGGGTGTCAGCCCCTCACCCTTCTGTATCCCCCTCCTGCGTAGCCTCCAGGCGTCATCCAGGTTTACCGAGGGCCTGTGCTGGGCCAAGCTATGTGCTGGGAGAGCCCCCACGTGACCC